AGGCCCAGCATGGCAGGGACTGGGGCCTTCTCCGTGGGCGTCTCTGCGCGGCGGACGGAGCTGAAGGCGGACAGAGTGGACTCCGGTAGCGGCTGACTCGTGGGTCCCCGAGGGCCGCCGGTGGGGGTGCAGGGTTCTTCCTCTCGTGACCCCGGCTGCGGCCCAGCCCTGCCCCGGCCTCGCGGAGCGTGGGCGTCTGCTGCTTGCCTGGTGGTGAGCATTATTACAATTTGTCTTCCTTATGGTCCCCCATGCCTCATACCGTATATGCAGATAAAGGACACCTAAGCAAAGCTTGGGACGGTTGGTTCGTTCATCCATCCATCCACCCATCCATCCACCCATCCATCCATCCGCAGTACTAAAATAATTTGAATCACCTGCTATGGCTGCCTTGAGGGTGTCCTTGGTGGAACAAGGGATCTGGCCTCTGGCCTCCCTTGGCGAGGGGGTATCCCTCTGCCACGCTCCTGGTAACAGGGCCAGTGTAACAAAGTGTCACAGCCTGTGTGACTTAAGCAGCATCAGTTTTCAGTCTCAAGGTTCTAGGTGCTAGAAGTCCAAAATCAAGGTGGGGTTGGTCCCCTCTAAGGGCTGTGAGGAAAGCATCTGTTCCAGGCCTTTCTCCTTGGTTTGTGGACAGCGACTTCCCTCTTTGTCTCTTAACATAAGCTTCCCTTTATGGGTTCCCATATCCAGATTTCCTCTTATAAAGACATTGGTCATACTGAATTAAAATTCACCCTAATGACCTCATTTTAACTTGATGCCTCTGTAAAGATGCAATCTCCCATTAAAGTCATATTCTGAGGTACTGGGGGTTAGAGTTTCACATAGAAACAGGAGGATAAAACAACCCATAATTCCACATCAAAATACAGATCATCATAGGCACATGTAGTGAGCTCTGGTATAAAGCCTGCAAGTGACAGGATTTTGTCAGATATCTTAATTTCAGGAAACACAAGGTAAAATAATGTCTCATGAACCTTGCCTTGTCTAATAATTGCTAATGTTATTCTGTGTCTCACAATAGAAATCTTGGTTGTCTGGGTAAGCTTGATATAATTGGTCCAGATAAGAAGTAATCAGAAGACAATCAAAGGACAAGGCAATTCAGTGACAGGAGAGAGACTGGAGTAATTAACTTTGAAGATGAAGGAAGGGGCCTCAAACCAAGGATATGGACAAGGAAATGGATTTTCCCCTTAGAACCTTTGGAAAGAATGAGCTGTGGAAATACCTTGACTTTAGCCTATAAACTAACTGCTTTCATACTTTGGCTTCTAGAAAAACCATAAGAGAAAAAATTTTTTATTATTTTGAGCTACTAAATTTATAGTGATTTTGAAGCAGGAGAAAGAGTTTTAATCATGAGGGTTAATGACTGTGGTGTCCCACGGAAGGCAACACATTCTCCCTGAGATAATCATTTCATCAACCTCATCCCATTTCAATGTTTGAGATACAAACAGAAAGGTCCCAAGCCTGACTGTGTCACCATACTTCACTCTGTTCTTTGCTTAAGACAAAAACAGGGGTTTTCTGAGCTGATGGAAGCCAGTTTTCCCCTTGAGATCTGCTTGAGGGGACTGAGACCCTCATTTACGTGCTAAGAGAGACACTCAAGAGGGGAGACTACATCAGTTGGCTTCATGCTCACACATGCATGGTGTGTGATTGATGTAATGCTTATAGCCATGCTAATGGCCTTATTTTAAAAAGTATATAATCTCACTTTACCTCAGAGTGGAGCTGTTCTTTCTACGAAGTGACCTCCTTTGCCATTCCTTCCTCGGCTATTTTGTCTATGAGCCAGCCTGCTGCTGTATCCTGTGTGATTCTAATAAACTCTTTCTCTTTATTATTTTCATTGACCATGTTTGGTTTTGATCTTTCAGGAGTCAAAGAACTCCTGGAGGTGGTAACAATTTGTTGACAGTGCAATAGAAAATGAATACATTAAATAAACTATTTAACAAATCTCTTCAGGTTTATCTATACCAGCACTTATTCCAAAACATATTTCCCATGACTTGGTGGCCCAGAAATTCCCTTCCCCTCTGAATCTGATGGTTCCCCTAGTTCTGATGATGTCATCATTTTAATTATGGGTTTCTTTCCTACAGCACCTTCTCCTACCTGGTCACACTTCACCTCATTGTCCCTGCCAGGACACATAAGGAGCCCACCCACACCATCCTTCTTTTTCACTCTGGCTCTGGCCCATCCCTTGTACATTTTGTTAAAATGTTGTCTTGAACAAAGAAACTCAGCAGCTAAATATATGTGACAGTGAATTTTATGAGAAACACTGGTGAAACTCCCAGCCCACTCCAAGTACCCAAAACAGACCAACAGAGTATTTCTTGAGTTGGATGTTTCTTGGTTCTCCTCTTCAAGGAAATACTAATAGTACCTGATGAAAATTCCCCTCCTAGCACTACAGTGGTATACTTTGCTTTCTGAAATATCTTCAGCCTAGACTTGTGCAAGAGAAATGTAGCTATGGAAAGATCTGCATACCATACAGATCTGTCAAGGGCCTCCTGGAGCAAGACTGTAGAAGACAAGAGGCCCAAGACACCTGGGATAGTCAGAATTTGATAGAAACTGTGTGACTGGGAACAGTCAAAAGAACAGCTTGCAGAACCTATTCCTGTCATCTCTCCCACACTCAGGGGAATCCTTCCTGAGCAGCTATGTCTGCAGAGCTACGCCAACCATGCCAGTCACGTTCCCCACCAATATTTACAGCAGTTGCTTCAACTCTTCCCGAATAGCATCTGCTGTGGCAGAGGCTGGGTTAGAGCCTCCAGAAGGTAGTGACTGTGAGTTCACAGCTTGGCAACAACAGAGAGCTAGTGTGAAAGCAAATGTCACTGCCAGGGGAAAATCCCACCTGCTCAGAGCATAGCTGCCAGCTTGGGCACTGCCAGCCCTACAGTCAGAGAAAAGCAGGCCTTGAGGATGAGGAGAAGGGGAAGAGGGGCCAAAGAAGAGAGATGGCTCTTTTCCACTCCTGACTCCTACTCAGCACAAATAGTTGTGGTGAGAAAAGTTGAACGTTTTCTCTTTTCCCTCTAAAATTTTGATGATTTACTTTTAGAAAAAGGGACATAAAAAAGATTAACAGGGGAGAAGCACCCAAATCAATTAATTAACGTACAGAAGCACGAAAGCCATATATACCAAGTGTGACTCTCAGGGAAAGGGCTAGAGGGCTGACATTTACATAGTAATTTGCATCACACAGAGGAATGGGGCTTGAAGCTCAGAGGCAGGGAGGTGGCCACAACACAGACGTCAGGGTCAGGAGAGGAACAGCAGGGCCCTGACAGGATCTTATACATAGACTGAGCTTCCCAGGAGGTGACCCCCAAAAGGTCACCTGTGACACTCTCTGCCCAGTTTTCATACCCCCAATCGCTTCTTCCTATGAAAAGATCTTCCCTAGCAGCTACAGGAATCTCACAGTGAAAACCTTGCCTTTATCCCTCACTTACTTTATTAATATAGATAAATGGAAATTTCTTTTAGAAAAGGGCAGATTTTTAAGAGCTATTTTTGTCTGCACTTGCTCTCAATAACCACCTTGCAATATGTCAAGGAAATATATTCGGAACAGGATATTTCCCTACCTCACACTTGGGTTGTTCACAACCTTACCCTGGCCTCTATTTCTTTATTTCTAAAAGACAAAAGCAGGAGCTTTTTAGATATGACCTTTGTGGGGAAAATTTCCATTTCTGAAATGTTTTTAAAAGCAGGAACAAGTTGAAAGAACAAACTGGACTAAAATCTGCATTCTAAAAGTAGTTCTTGAACCTTCATTTTCATAGAGCTATAGACGTCGCAAAGCATTTCCGACAATGAAATATGTCTCCCTGAAATTGTTGTAATGTTGTTGCCACCATGTCAATTTGGGGCCT